CATGAGACACCCAGGATAATCACCAATTGTTTCACAGACAGTAGACTAATATTTAGGACATACAAGTGACTTGTTGAATGATGAATGAGAGAGAGAGAGTTAAACAGCTGGCACTGTGGGTTTTTGTTAATATTGTTAATATGACACTGCTTCAAAGCAATTGTGTCAGGCTAGATTGGACACTTAACAAAAGATAAGCAACAGCAACAACAGAGATGTGAGTGTCTTCCTCAATCCATTTTTTTCGTTTGCAGAATCCAGACTCCTCAAGTGTTAGGATGGCAGGACGTAGTTGTGCTTTATCAGCTGCTTTGTCATTTTAAGATTTCAGTCAAACAGCACCGTGGCCATTTGAAAAGGCTGCTTCATAAGACAAGCTATTTAGGGGAAGCTCCATGTTGTTCCAAGAAGATCCACCAATGTTTCTAACTGTTCACAAAGAAGTGCAGCTTGCATTCTGTCATCAGTGATTCACGTTTCTGCCTGCTCCAGAGCCGTTGTTCAAAGAGGCACCGAACCCTATCTATGGCTCTTCTATAGAAGGTTTCCCTGGAATATAAGCAATGTTTATTCTGTGTTTATTTCTAATATTTATATGCTGACTATCTACAAATGTCACCAAAGTGGCATAAAACAGTTCAGAGGTAGACCATAATGCATAAAAAGCGATAATACCAAGTCATATAACAATATAACATTAAACCCCACCTTTTGCAATGCAAAAGACTAGATTCTGAATTTTAACTGTTATTACAGAAACTTGCCCCAGTTTTGGACTTCAAAACAGGAAACCTTGAACTATGTTATATGAATTAGACTTCCCCAGCCTCTTGTCCTCCAGAAATGTTGGGCTACAACTCCCATTACCCCCAGTCAGTGGTCATGTTGGCTGGTGAATGTGTACCTGATTGGGGTAGGCTTTATTTAACCGTTCTAATTAATGTGGAAATAATTCATCTCTAAGGACGGAATTTTGGCCAGTAGCACCCATGAACAAAAGTCTTTCTCTGTGTGTAACCCACCCCCATCCAAATTGTCCTTATTTAGTTGGAACTGGGACAGGTAAGCATGATATGAAGGGCAGATTATGTAATTTTTTCAAGGAGATGTACAGTACATGTTGACTGGGCTTGGATGACATGACAAGCCTATGTAGCTAATAAGCCATGGTGGATTCTCATGTCATGCACACCTGGATTTGTAAGTCATCTCCACAGTGAATTGTTCAAACAAACCAAAAGCAAAAAGGGAAAAAACCCTTTGTTTTTATTTTTATTGCTGCCCAATTACAACTGAGCACAACCAGAGTTATGTGGGAGCAGCAACGGGAAACCAAGCTGGAAAATAATTACAAAAATAGGTGATGGTGCTCCTCCAGGGATTTACATAAGCAAACCACTCCTTTGCAAGCATCTGATAGGTGACAGAAGCCAGTCTGAAACCTGCCAAGCCCTCAGTGAACTTGGGGTGGGTACATCACCCTGTTTGCAGCAGGATCCTCATATGTCTATCATGCTACCTAAGACTTGCAGGTGTCCATCAGATGTTACCATGTCAGAAACACATAAAAGCTCCCATTTGTAGGGGAGATCACCTCATCTGCCAAAGAGGAAACTTCATTCTTAAGGTAGGATTTCTAAAGAGTTAAACAATTCGTTCTGACCAGGAAAGTTTGCAGTATATAGTCTCTGCAGTGGAAATGGAGGGAAAGATTTGTTCCTCCTCAGTTGTTCCAAAGGATATCTATGGGAGGACCAAAATGTGGCCAAGCAACCTTCAGGCTTGCTGTGGGGCCCCAGCAATTGACCCAGATGGCATGGCTTATGCCAAAGTGTGGATGATTGTGTCATCCAAACCTGCCCATTGTTTGTTATTAATTTTGTTGTGGCAATATCACCAATCTCTGATAAGATCCCATAATTATGGGACTGAATATATTATGAAGTACATATTTTTAAAACTCCTATCTGAATAGATTAAAATTAAAAGTCATCTTTTCAGATATATCTAACAAACAGGAAAACACTCAGACTCAAGTTACTAATCCACCATGACACTCACCATATAGTTTTGTGTGTTGCTATCATTCAGCTTGGCGTAACACCTTACAGCTGCCTTCACCAACTTAGTACCCTCCAGTTTTTTGTACTACAATTTTCATCATCCATTACCATTATCCATAATATCTGGGGCAGATAGGATTTGTAGTCTAAAACATGTGGAAGAAGGCACATTGTGGAAGAGTTATTGTTCTGTGCCGTTGAGTCCTCTCCAATTTATCGTGAACCTGTGAATGAATGTCTTCTAAAACGTCTTTGACAGCCTTGGTTAACTCTTGCAAACTCTGGCCTGTTGCTTCCTTTATGAAATTGAGCCATCTCATATTTAATATTTCACAAATTTCTCAGCAGGTTTCATTGTTTCTCTTGAAATGGTAAACATTAAGTCATCAATGACAATGTCAGGAAGGCTAAAGCTAGGAATGAACTGAGGCTGGCAAGGGATTTAAAAAGCAACAACAAAGCCTTCATCAGATATGTTCTTTCTTCAGAGGAAAGAAACAGGAATTCAGCTACTCAGTGTGGATGGCAAAATAATAACAGATGACAAAGAAAAGGCAGAAGTGCTCAATTCTTCCTTTGGCTCAGTCTTCTCCCAAAAGAAGATTTATCAGCTTCCTGAAGAAGGGGAAGTACAAGCTGATGCAGAAGGATGGCAGCTCAAGATTGGCAAATTGGCAAGGATCATCTAATTGGGTTGAATGTGTTCAGATCTCCAGGGCCCAATAAACTCCATCCTAGAGTCATTATGGAATTGGTGGAAAAACTTGCAGAACCATTTCCTATTATCTTTGAGAAATCATGGATGACAGGAGAAGTGTCATATGACTGGAGAAGGCCTAATCTTCAAGAAAGGGAAAAAGAACAGAACTGAACCAAACCAAACTGAACCTGGGAATTATGAACCAATCAGTCTGACATCAGTCTCTGAAAAAGTCTGGAAGAGGTGATAAAGCAGTCAGTCTGCAAACACCTTGAAAACAATGCAGTGATTACTAGAAGTCATCATGGATTTCTCAAGAACAAATCCTGCCAGACTAATCTGATTTCATTTTTTTTTAAAATTGGGTGACCTCACTGATGGACTGTGCAAATGCAGTTGGACATATATCTTGATTTTAGCAAAGCCTTCAACAAAGTGCCCCATGATGTCCTAATTAGCAAACTAGCAAAATGTGCGCTAGATGGGACCACGATCAGGTGGATCCACAGTTGACTACAGAAGTGGACTCAAAGAGTGCTTCTCAAACTGGGGAGGTAACAAATGAGGTACTGCAGGGTTCAGTCCTGGGCTCAATGCTTTGCAGCATTTTCATTAATAACTTGGACAAAGAAGTTCAAGGAAAAATTATCAGATTTGCAGATAACATAAAACTGGGTGTGATAGCTAATACTCTAGAAAGACAGAAAGAAGATTCAGAATGAAATTCAGTAGGGACAAATGCCAGCTTCTGCACCTAAGAAAAAGAAACGACATGCATTGTTACAAGATGGGGAACCCTCAGCTAAACAATACTGCAAGTGAGAAGCATTCAGGAATTTTTGTAGATCACAAGCTGAGTCAACAATGTGATTTGGCTGCAGAAAGGACAAATGCTATTTTATGCTACATTAATAGAAGTATCTCTTCCAAATCCCATGATGCACTACTTCCCCTTTATTCAGCATGGTTTAGGCCTCACCTGGAGTACTATGTCCAGTTCTGGGCACCACAGTTTAAGTAAGATGCAGAAAAGCTGGAAAGGGTTCAGAGGAGGGGAATGGGGATGATGCAGGGACTGGAAAAAAATACCTGTGGAGGAAAATTGAAAGAACTGGGCATGTTTAGCCTGGAGAAGAGAAGATTGAGGGAGATAATGATAACACTCCAGAAGTACTTGAGGAGGTGTCATAAAGAGGAAGGACAGCATCTCTTCTTGATCATCGCAGAGTACAAACCAATCACTAGTTAGCAGTAAAGCTATAACTATATATTTGGGAGAATGGCTTTGCACAAATGCATTCATGCAAATTCTGAATCAGACAATCAGTAGAGAGAAGAGTGAAAGTTGCCTGAAAATCAGTAACTTGCCAGTGCAGTAGCTTTCTCTTCATTCATGCATTCCTATTTTAACATGTTCTCCTGCTTCAGCAGATCTCACTCTTTCCTCTAAGTTTCTTCTTCACCTCGTTTTTCTCACTTCCTTTTTCTCTTTCTACCTGAGGCTTTTATATCTCCATATTAATTATTTCTCTTCCCCAACTCCAACCAATCAGGATGGTAATTTCTGGTAAAGTCCTGCAACCCGAATGTCCATGTTCTCTTGAACCATCTGCTTTCTCCCCACCTTCCATCTTCTTCTAATCTTCAGTTGAATCTTCTGCAAAACTTTGGCTTCTCCCACAGATATTCTGACTTGTGTAATTTAATTAAACTTTTGATGAATGAAACTGACCTGCAAGCAAGCTGGAGATTTAATCTGTGTGCGTGTGTGTGTGTGCGCGTGCACGTGCATGCAAAAAACACAAGTGAAGGATAGTGCTCCACCTTTGCAGTCTGTTTTTGGATGGTCCTGTGCTAAAATACTTCACTGTAAACCAAAAAAGCAGCTGATCATTGAAGAGATCAGGGTCATGATGTACTACGTTTTTCTATCTAAAGAGAAGGGTGTTTTGATGAGGCAGCATTCAAATGCACAAGTCTTCCCTTTACATATTTTGAAATTAAGATAGGAAAAGCTCTGCCATGTGGTTTTATTCAATGCACACACCAAACCTGAAGCCAGCTGGGGTTTTCTCCAGGCTGACAGGCTGACATATCAGTGCACGTAGGTCAGAGCATCTCCTGCCTTCCTGGAACTTGATTCCCCCATCCCTACCCAGACTACGTGCATACATAATAATGGAACTGTAGCCTATCATGTTTGCAGACAGTTCATCATATCTGATGCAGATGCTTACCAACCACTGACATTTCAGGAACAGTTGCGATATAAACTTCTTCTGGAAATGTGGGTTCGTTGTCATTGATGTCATGGATTTTGATGACAAACTCTGATTCAGGCTCCACAGGTCGGAGTGTTCTTCTGTTAATAGCTTGGGCACGTAGGGTGTAGAAAGCTTTCTCTTCTCGGTCAATTCTTCTTGTGGCATGAATGTCACCTGTTCTCTCATCAATTACAAAGAGAGTACCAGCCCCATCTCCTGACAAAATGTACTTGAGGGACCCATCTCCTTTGTCCTGGTCAGAGTGAAGCTGGGAAAGAAAAAGAGGAAGAAATGAAGTTTCTGGTTTTGGGTTTTTTTTTAAATAAAAAGCAAAAACAAAACAAAACGAACGCTCTGCAGTCCTTTGGAAGACAGCAAGCACACACACTACTTCCAACAAATTATGCATTCACAGTCCAAACTTCCTTTCAGGTTACACCTGTTTGATACACTCTGTGTGTGTGTGCGTGTGCGTGTGGCATTCAGTCTGTCATTCCCCAGTACCTCTAATGAACAAAATAATCTTTGGAGCTCAACTCCCATGGCAGATTTTAGTTTTTCCTCCAACACCTGTTCTGTGCTGCCGAACATTTGTGCCACCCATCTTAAGGAAGAATTTTATGTTAATGCTGACCTTTTCTTTCCTCAAAAAAGATTCCATTAAACATTCACAACCTGCTCTGTTAGTTGTAAATTCTCTAAGCAGATGAAGGACATGGCAGAATACATGATAATTAAAGAAATCTGAGTAACCAGTGCTGGTGTTGCACAATTTTGAGATTTATTACATCTTCCAAAAAAGTAAATGAGTACATAAATTCACTAGGCAGGAACCCTGCACCCTTCCTAGGGTATTTCTGGGGGATTTTCCTCTTCCTAGGGTATTTTCCCCATGACCATAGGGTTGCTCTCATGTACCAAGTGCTCTCTCTCCTAAAATCTTAAGTGCGCCGGTGATTCATAAAACTAACACTTTCAAGCTTATTAGAGATGGATTATACAGTATTACTTAAGCCACAAGACAGGCATCAATCACTCTCCAAATGTCCTTCCTGGCTGAGGTTTAGTGGGTAGGGCCCGCTCAGAGTGGACCTTTTCCATAGTTCCATTACCAGCTCCAGTGATTGACTATCCTTCCCAGAGCTTTGCCTGGTGCCTACTTCGTTTATTTTTCAGCAGTGGGCAAAGACAATTGTATTCTTTCAGGCCTTGCAATCTTCTATATATCCAATATATATCCTTTGTTATGCGGTTCTTTGCAGAAGTATTCATCCCCTGAGCTGCTTGCTTGCTTGCATTTATATCCCATCCCAATAGCCCAGAGGGCTCTCTGGGTGGTTTGCAAACATTAAAACCCCACCAATCCTAAAATTGTAGACTACATGTAAAGCTGTAAAATACATTGGCTTCACTACTCCTTTGATATACACAAACTCAAGGTGCAAGAAGCACCCTTTACCGCAGTTACAGTTGCAGGATTTCTTGGGTAAGTCTCTACCAGGGGTTTCTTTCCACAATGGTTTTCGTCCCATCACTCTTCCATAAAGCCCAGAAGCTTTGTGGAACATCTGAGTGATAGGTATCCTTTAGAGGATTATCCCCTCCTAATGCCTGCCACTGAATTTGCAGGATTTCCTTCTCTAAGCAGAGTTTCAGTTCAATCATCTTCTTTCCATTTTGTAATGATGGATTTAAAAGTGTTCCAGGGGATGTTCATTGTTTAGGACGCTTCTTTTACAGTACAACTGTACCCTTATTGGTGCTTCTGACCAACTTTATCCCAGAGTTATTCTGATAGCTCCTTGATCTTCATAATGCATAATGCTGTCTGTTTAGAAATACTCTCCAACAAACTCGGGGACCTTCCAGAAACAAGCATATTTAATTTGACCTCATGAAGCATTGCAATTTCACAAAGGTGGGTTCTACTACCTATAGTATGTGGGGCAGTGAGTTGCCACAGAGCTTATTTAGGTCTGTGATACAAAAGTGTCTGAATACTCATGCAGCTAGCAAGTGCAGATTTGTCTTAATTTAATAGAATCATAGAATAGAAAAGTTGGATGAGGCCATGAAGGCCATGAAGGAAGTCCAATCCCCTGCTGTTGCAGGACATCAAGTTACACCATCCCGCTCGGATGGCTGTCCAGTCTCTTTTTGAATGTCTCTAGTGCGGGAGAGCCCACCACCTCCTTAGGGAGCTGGTTCCACAGTTGTATTGCTCTGTCAGTGAGGGAGCTTTTCCTGATGCCCAGCCTGTATCTGGGTTGTCACAACTTGAACTGATTATTCCATGTCCTACTTTCTGGCATTACCGTGTTTCCCCGAAAATAAGATGCTGTCATATTTTTTATTTTTTACTTTTTTTGGCTCACAAAAACACACTAGGTCTTATTTTTGGGGTAGGTCTTATTTTTCATTTTATTTTTAATGTGTACAACAATCCACACTTATTCATGTACAACAGCATGAATATATGTACATTTGGTATCACTCCGCCTGTGACAGGAGCTGGCGCTATAGAGGAAGCATCGGCTTATGTGGCTCTGCTCCCTTCATAGGGAGCAGAGGGAGCAGAGCTGTATAAGTATGTCTCCTCCACACAGTGCATTAAGTTAAAGTTAAGTTAAAAATAAAGTTTAAAAAGGCTCTTTATGTTCCCCACTGGCCCTGGGAATAAGCACAGGTAGATCTTAATTTTGGGGTAGGTCTTATAATTTAGCAAGTATCAAAAATAGTACTATGTCTTATTTTTGGGGAAACACAGTAGTAAGAAAAGATCTTGACCTTCCTCTTTGTCACAGCCTTTGAGGAATAGAGGGATATCATGTTTCCCCTCAGCCTTCTCTTCTCAAGGTTGAACATGCCAAGTTCCTTCAGTCTCTCCTCATGGGGCAGTGTTTCCAAACCCTGGATCATTTTGTTGTTGCTGCTGTATCTTTCTTAAATCTTGGTGCCCGGAACTGGACACAGTATTCCAGGTGAGGTCTGACTAGTGAGGAGTATAAAGGAACTACTACTTTTTGTGATTTATCACTAATACTTCCGTTAATGCATCCCAAAAGAGCATTTGCCCTTCTGGCAGCTGCATCGCATTGTGGGCTCATGTTTAGCCTATTGTCCACAATTACTCCAAGATCTTTTTCTTTTTCAGTTCTGTTGAACCACATATTCCCCATATTGTATCCACACCTTGGTTTTTTTTCCCTAGGTGGAGGACTTGGCACTTGTCCTTATTGAATTTCATTCTGTTGATTTCAGCCCAGTGTTCATCAAGATCGCCCTGAATCTTCATTCTGTCTTCTAGGGTGTTTGCTATTCCAACCAGTTCTGTATCATCTGCAAATCTGATTGTCTTTCCTTGTACTTCCTCATCTAAATCATTAATAGAGATGTTGAAGAGCACTGGGCCCAGGACTGAACCTTGTGGTACCCCACTAGTTATCTCCATCCAATTTGAGAAGATGCCATTGATGAGCACTCTTTGTGACCGATGTATCAGCCAAGTTTGGATCCCCCTAGTCCAGTCTTTGCAAATTTCCTTATCAGAATGTCGTGTGGCACTAAGTTGAAAGCTTTGCTGAAGTCTAGGTAGATTATGTCCACAGTGTTCAGTGTGGTGTAGTGGTTAAGAGCACGGGACTGGGACTCAGACGATCTGGGTTTGAGTCCCGCTCGGCCATGGAGCCAACTGGGTGACTTTGGGCCAGTCACAGATTCTCAGCCCAACCTACCTCACAGGGTTGTTGTGGGGATAAGATGGAGGAGGAGAATGATGTAAGCTGCCTTGAGCCCTTTGTAGGAAAAAGGCAGGTTATAAATTGGAAAATTGGAAATTGTTCAAGATGCTTGCAGATGAATGTTTTAATAACTTTGGTGCCACAATAAAAATATTTTGTGCCTTCATTGTGTTGAGTATTTTGAGCACAATTTCAATTTAACCTGTTTTAATTGCAGGCTGTAATCCAATAAAATATGTGGGGGAGAGCTACTTCTGCAAGCTCTTGTGGCTTAATTTACAATGGCTTTATTTCTGTGATACATTTTGTGATGCCTGTCATTTTTGCCTCTACTGCTCTTAATTGATTTCTGATTTCAATTTATTGTTTTATTACTCTGCCTTGGTTTTGCTCCAACAAGATTTGAACCTTATTTGGGTTTTATTGAAGGATATTAGCTATAGAAGGACTAATAAATCTTAGAAATAAATAAAACATCAAAGTTCCCAAGTTCATTCTTTTGCATCACTCCTGACCAGAACTCAGAGGGGTTGTGAATGACCTCTCCCTGAAACCTGAGTAGAGTTACTATTCTAGCTTCTAAAGGGACCGGTGGATTATACGGACCAATATAATGCCATTCCTCTTAATTCTGTACAAAAAGAAATTGCATTTTCCAGGCCACCATACACTATTTGGCATTGCATCACTTGGCATTAGCATACATGCTTAGAAAATGGAATTTTGGATTAATTTGTAAACCAGTTTCACGTCCTGGTTACCAAGTTGTATACTTTTCTTCTGTGGCCTTCTGACTTCCATTGAACTAGCCAGTTTAAAGAATAAACTATACTTCTACAGAACTATAGTTTAATACTTGCTTGTCAAAAAATTAATGGTCTAAAGCTTTCAAAAGACTTTACATGCTGATCTCAACTCTGTAAGTTTTTTCCACTGTTACTAATCCCATTCTGATGATGGCACATTGATTCTGATATTATGGTGGCTTGCCCAAGCCTAACCTGTGAGTTCATACCCGAATCCATTGGCTCAGAACTTATATTCTTAGATCCTCATGCAATTTGTTCTAATATCTGTGTCATCTTATTCTAAATTCAAGGATATTCCATGTATATGTCATTGTTACTTTAATTACATTAAAATAGTTAAAAGTCAAATGACAGAGGAACAAATTTATTAAGTAATAATTCTTCAATCAAATCATGTTGGTTTCAATAATGAATGGCTCTCATGCTCCTGCTTCCCTGCCCCACCTCTGACTAACTCAGCCTTAATAGGAATGTAATTTAGGGTTTCCTAGACAGGGAAAATATCTAGTTTAGTAATTATATAGGTGTATCAGAATCTAACCTTTTACCTTTGATAGTTTAACAGAAAAAAATTAAGAACTTACATTTTATTTTTAAAATTCTGTTTTAACTGTTTTAAACCCGCAATATTATCCCTGTCTGGCTCCACCTCAGATGTTTTATTTATTTATTCAGTTTATATGCTGCTCTATTAGCCATAAGGCTATCTGGGTGGCCCA